GTTGAGAACCATTATTTTAGAAGATACTTGTGTGGATTATGATTTTTCTGCTTGTGTTCTCCTAAAATTTGGTAACTTTAATTTGGTTGACAGTCTTTGTTTTGTTCATAACAAATTTTTATTTAGCAACAAATAGGACTATAACTTTTCTTATAAGTATAAAAAGCAGCCAGTTTTTTCTAGTATGTTCCTAAATTCTCTATAAGGGAAATTGACACTTTGCTGTCTGCCTCCTTGTAGTATACCAGCTGCAGCAGGAAGCCCCTCATCCTCGAAGGATCACCTGTACTTGTGAGGTGGGTGTGACACAGTCTGCACAGCAGATGTCCTTTCTTCTTCTGTTTCCCAAAGCTGGCCGTCCTTGGAGGCCTGTCTGTGGGTGTGACCATTCGCTCCGATTCAGTTTTATTGATAGTCTCATTAGACATATGTATGCTGCTTACAATATTATATATAACATCTTTGTATAGTTTTAAATACTATAACTTTCTTTAGCTAATTACACCTTCTTACATTTTAAAATGTTTTGTTCCTCATTTCTGATAATGCATTTGAGAGTATCATTGTAGGGTAATTTAACAAAATGAACCAAGATTGAGCCAAGCATGTGGCCTTTAATCCCAGCACATGGGAGGCAGACCCGTGAGTTCTAGGCCTGCCTGTCTGTATAGCAAGTTACACACACACACACACGCACACGCACACGCACAAAACACAGAAGGGGCGAGGGGTGGTTATGGGTGGATGTGATGTTAAAAGCATTGTATACATGTATGAAATTACAAAAGAGTAAAAAGAAAAAGGCACTTCAACAAAATAAACAAACAACATGGATAATTTTCCAAGGAAAGATATTTTGTATTACATGAAAAGATGCAAACACCCCCCCCCCACACACACACACCCAAAATACCCAAACAAAAAGCTCACAAAAAATCATGGAGTCGATTTGGTGTTGGCCAATGTCTCTGGGGCATAGGGCCTGCCCAGTGAAGAAAACTGATTTCCCTTTGCCAGTGGGTGTCAACTGCACATAGCTTCTTGGTTGGGGTGGGACTCTGTGTCCACTTCCCCTTCGCAGTGCTGGGACCTTATCTTGTTTGAACCTGTGCTGGTCTTGTGCATGCTGTAACAGTCTCTGTGAGTTCCTATGTGTATCAACCTTGTTGTGTCTGGGAGACACTGCTTTCTTGGAGTCCTCCATACCCCTGGCTCTTAAAACATCTTCTGAATGGATCCCTGAACCTTGAGGGGAGGTGTTTGATTATGGCACTTCATTTAGGACTGAGTGTTCTGAAGTCCCTCTTTGCACATGGTCCAGTTGTGGGTCTCTGTGTTAATTACTGTCTGCTACAAGAAGGAGCTTCTCTGTTGAGGGTTGAGCAAGACACTGATCTATGGTTATAGAATGTACCACTAGCTGTTATTTCATTGCTACTTTCCTTTTGCAATATAATATGTGAATGTTAGCTTTTAATCTGTAGATTTGTGTGTTTATCTAAATAACCCCAGTTTAAACCACTGTTTAAATAGCTAGTAAGGGACCTGGGGGGCCGGATGGGGGAGGAATCTTCCAGAGAAGGGGAAGTAGAATATAGTGTTACAAAGAGATACAGGGAAAACTAGACTAGATTAAATCAAGATGGGAATGGGAGAGTAGGGTAAAGGAGAGAATGTGGAAAGGGACAGCTAACACTAAAGACTTTTGAAAAGCCATGTGGAAATATACTACTGTAGAAGCTTCCTAGAAGATATGCAGATATGAAAGGAATTCAGATTTAAATGGAGCCACCATATAAGGGGGAAAACAATGCTCCAACCAGACAGACATCTTCTGCCACCAAGTAAAACCTCCAGAGCCAAGAATGGGCTGTATCTAGTTGGGTCATTGGCCAAAGGGATCCTGTAAACTCTCCCAAACATCCAAGGTTGTTGTCACAGCTATTGGTCACAACTGAATGATAAGGCTCTATTGCTGAAGATTCCACTTATTTGGATCACTTGAGCTGGTACCCAACTAGAAGCTTCACCTCAACTGACGAGTGTTCATGGTGCTAGAAGGTACTTTGTGTGCTATTGGAGGAGAAAAGTAGTCATCAGTATTACCTTTGACCTACAGCAGTGGCTGCATGCAAGATATGCTGGTGTGGTCATGACTCATATGTTATGGGAGTGCTGACTACTTTTTTAAAATATTGAATTTAACTTTCCTCCATGATATAGAGCCCATACCTCATAGTGCTAAAGTCCAAGAACTGAGACAAGACATTTATATTTTTATTCCTTCAGTCGATTAACCAATATCCTCTGAGGTGCTGCTTTCTGCTCAATCCTCAGAACTCAGTCAAAGCAATATCTCTCTCCCGGAAGAACCTGGAGTCTCCGTGGGGGGCGGGGAGTAGAGTAGCCAACGGGGCAAACTGGCAGCAGGTCCTGTATCTGGTGTGTGTGTGTGTGTGTGTGTGTGTGTGTGTGTGTTTGCTTGCTTCCTTTTGGCCCCTTGCAGGGGATTGTGGTAGAGTGTTAAAAGATGGTACCAGATATCTACATAAACAAAAAATAATAAAAATATTTTATATCCTAAGTATAGAGTTCAGACTTTGTCCTTGTAGCCGTAGAGGTAAAGATACTTTCAGCACAAAAACATGATATTAGGTTTAGAGCACTTAGCAGAATATGCAGAAGGTGGATTAGGAAGGAAGATGGACATTTGGAGGCAAAAAGACTGTTTCAGGAGATTGTTGTAGTATTCCTAAGGATGAATGAAAGGACCTGTATGCACTGGTTCTGGGAACAGCCAAAAAGGGACAGAAAGGAATCTATGAAGTACGGGAATATGTTTGATTTGGTGGACTGAATGAGAGGAAAAAATGACTTTGGGGAACTAGTCATCTCTTGATTTTACAAACTCCTGTCATGGGAATCTGAGGAAGCAGAGATTTTCCTTTTCCTGCAAAAACATTTAGATGTTTTATAAAGCTTAAAAACAAGCATATAAATGCTTAAATAAGCATAAATTAATCTATTACATGACATTTAAATTTCCAATTTGAGACATTTATAAGTCAACTAATTTGAGATTGTTAATCATTTTTATATTTCTGACTAATTTTTTAATTTGATTATCTGAGTAATGTCTGTAAGTTTGGAGACAATACTTAATATCTTAGATAACCTAAAACATCTAGATCTTGCTTTAGGAAAAGAAAACCTTCCCTGTTTCCTTTGACTCAAAAGATGTGCAGTGAGTTTTATAAGCTGAGAAATTGTGGAACAAATGCAAACTCAGATGGGATTTAGGGATTTAAGATAAGAAATAACCTGGCTGTAAC